CCCATCCCGGTCACAAAGGTGGGGAAGGGGCTGGCACCGTACCTGAACACCTCACTCCAGAATCATCACTGTGAGCACAGTATTGATGAACCCTTTCTGTGACAGTGCCTCTCCTGCTGTCATGCCCAGGAGATGCCCTCCAGCAGCAGCCTGCAGCCCCCCGTGCCAGCCCTGCTCCCCAGGACAGCCCCAGGGTCCGTGCCCTGGGGCTCCTCTGGCAGCTCCTGTGGCCCCAGCAGCACAGCAGCCGCCCCAGGGGGACACACAGCAATGGGGGCCTCTTGTTCTCTGTGCCCTCCACACACGGGCTGTCCTGCTCTTCTCCTGGGCCATCCCCACCCACAGAGAGCCTTTCCCCATGGGAGTGTGTCCGTGCTGGCCTGGCTGGCTGTTCCTGCCCCTGCTCCCCACAGGGCCTGGGGCTGAAAGGGCTGCTCTTCAGAGGGAGAGGACTGTAGTGCCCTGGAGCTACGGGGTGACCCTGTCCTGGGGGAGATGTTGAGGGTGGGAAGCAGACTCAGATGGACAGGGATCACTGTGCATGAGCCCCTTTCCATCTTCCCCTTCCTGATGGGCCTGTGGCCAAGGAAGGGGCTTGGTAGGACCATGGGGCATTTCCAGTGCCTCTGCATTTGAGTGCTGCACTAAATCTGGGCTGTGGGGTTTCAAACTCATGTCATGGTTTAACCCCAGTGGGCAGCCAAGAACCACAGAGCCACTCGCTCACTGTCCCCTGGGTGGGATGGGGGAGAGAACTGGAAGGGAAAAATTGAGAAAAATCGAGGGTGGAGAGAAAGTTTAACAGGTAAAGGAAAAGCTGTGAGCGTAAGAAAAGCAAAATAAAGGGTTCATTCACTCCTTCCAAGCATCAGGCAGGTGTTCATCTCCAGGGAAGTGGGGCTTCATTGTGCATAATGGTTATTGAGGAAGACACATGCCATAATCCCAAGCATCCCTGATTTCCTTCCTCTTCCCCCATCTTTTATTGCTGAGCCTGATGTCATATGGTATGGAATATCCCTGTGGTCAGTTGGGGTCAACTGTCCCAGCTCTGCCCCCTCCCAACTTCTTGTGCACCCCCAGCCTTCTCGCTCGCAGGGGAGTGTGAGAAGCAGAAAAAGCCTTGATGCTTGAAAGCACATGAAAACACTGTTGATAACACAGGGTTGTTTCAGTTATTGCTGATCAGGGTTGACACAGCGTCAAGGCTTTTTCTGGTCCTCAAACACTGTTTTGTCACAAAACCCCAAACCAGCACCCTATGAGCTACTGTGAAAACATTTAACTCCATCCCACCAAAAGTCAACGCAGTGTCATGAATCACTGCCCAATGTTACATCCCTTGGCCTCTGCTTGCAAACAGCCCCTCCTGGGATGGCAGAGTCAGAGCATCTTCACCCTCCAGGAAACTTTTCAGAAACAGGACTTGAAAATGTTGATGTTCTGCTGCCTTTGTTTTGTTTCAAGTACAGAGGGAGCCTGGATTGTCATGTACATCAGGGCATTGGGCAAGTAACAACACCTAAATGCTTAGGAAATGAAATTAGGAATAAAATTGCCACAGAAATGAAATTCGGAATAAAATTGCCACAGGTCTAAGTAAGAGACAAAGAGAGAAAGAAGAAAAAAAAATTGAGAAAGAAAGAGAGGAATTCCTGTAGCCTCCCATTCCTGTAGCATCCTTGGCTGTAGCCAGGATGGACCTTGCCTCTGTGCCCCGGTACGAGTGTTCAGATGGTGGTTCACAGGCACCAGACCCCTTTGGAAGGCCCCGGGCTGTCTGCCCTGCATCCCCTGGAGGAGGGCATGGCTTTCCTGAAGGCCCTGTGCTGCAGTTACCAGCTCGGTGTGAGTATCCTGTGCTCCCCAGGCACTTGCCATGACACTACACTTCTCTTTATGCCATTAAAATGAGGGGACTTCAGTGCAAGGGTGTGTATGCGTCTTAGTTTTGTAGTGCCTTGAACTCTCATAAATTCCATGGATGGAGCCCAGAGGGCCCTTCTGGGGCACTCCTGCATCTAGTCAGCTGAAGAGCTCTAATGTGCTGCCGGGAGGTACTGGACAAAGGCACATTCAGGACGCCTAAACATCCAATTCAGGATGGCTAAGGATATCCCTCTTGCCCCAGCTGAAGTGAATCAAGAAAGATTCCAGCAGCCGTGGATGGATGGATGGGGGCAGCTGAATCCCACTTCATCCCAAGGGCTAGAAGCCATCATTCCCTCAGCTGAATTCCTGCCCTGCACAGGGGAAGACAACCCTTCCCTGCCCCACCTTGTGTGTCCTTTTCTTTTGGGAAAGAATGGCATTTTCAGAGGGGAAAATGTACAGCTTTTGCAGGCAAGCACACTCTGGTACAACAGACCATGCTGCTGGAATCACTCTCTCTCTGCTGTTTAGAGAGGGACAACTGGTGATTACTTTGGCTGACTTGCAAGTACATTCCCCAGGGGTGACCCTGCTGCCTTTCAGGAGCTGTCAGCCCTGGAGCACCAGGGAAATCTCCAGGGAGCTGAGGTGGAGACAAAGCAGAGACAATGGCACCTTGGGCTGGGTCTCTTCTCAGCTCACCCAGGCTCCTAGGTCAGGAGGAGCTGATGGCACTGGGCAGCGCTGAAGTGAGACAGCTCTGACCAGGAGCAGCTCCTCTGCGAAGCCCAGCAGGGCTGGGGGCACTGCCTGCAGGTGACAAGGGGAAAGGAGATAGCAAGATTTTCAGAGCTCTCTGAAGTGGGAAGACAGCTTTAATCTCATTGCAAGAAAAAATCCCCCAATAGCCCTTAACATGGTAAGTGTCTGGCTGCAGGGTGAGGCTGATGAGAATCCTGGGGGGCTCTTCCAGAGCTGGCACATCCCATGGCTGATATGACGTGTCTCAGTGCAGGCTTCCAGTACCTGAAGGAGCCTACAGGAGAGATGGGAAGAGAGTGGAGTGATAGCAGGAGGGGTAATGGTTTTAAACTGCAAGAGGTGAGGTTTAGATTAGATCTTGGGAAGAAATTATTTCCTGTGAGGGTAGTGAGACTCTGGAACAGGTTGCTCAGAGAAGTTGTGGTTTTTCCTTCCCTGGAGGTGTTCAATACCAGGCTGGATGGGGCTTTGAGCAACCTGTTCTGGTGAGGGTAGAACTGGATGGTCTTTAAGGTCCCTTCCCACCCAAACCATTCTATGGTTCTGCTGGATTCTTTAGTGCAGAGGAGGAGGACAGGTTTCTTTGGAGCAGTTCTTATCTGCCAAAACCATCAGAGGGAAAGGGCATGACATCTCCCTTCTCCGGAGGACGGCTGCTGGGGTGGGAGGCTGGGAAGCCGGGGTTTGCACCCCATGGTGGCTAGGGCTGTCCTTCAGGGAGGTGTCCACACCCCTGGGAGCTGCGTGCCGGGTCCAGGACTCTGCTGCCTGCCAGGGTCAGCTCTCAGCCTGTCCAGGGAGCTCCCCACAGCACTGCAGGGGTCAAAGGGGTGAGCCCCGACAAGGCAAGGTTCTGCAAGGGGTCAAGGGGGTGCTGCATGGGTCAGGGATGCTCATAGCTCCTGCTTACACCCTAGACTTCTGTGGAGGGGACTTTACATAAGTATGATCAGGGCAGCCTTGTCCTGCTTAAGTCTGTCCTTGACTGTGTGCTTGGAGTTTTCGCTTGCTTGGATGGGCATGAAAATAAGGCTGGCTATTTTAGAAAAGGGCTGGGGCTCCTAATCCACCACTGTGAGGTTTGTGAGGAACATCAGCTAGTGCCTTCACCACCCATCAGTCTGCAGAGAGCACCAGCATCGCCTTCCCAGCTTCATCAGGGTTTGAGACGTGCTGTTCGGTGCCTGCTGACATGGAGAGGCCCATGGGCAGTGTCCTGCCTTTGGGAGGTGTCTGCAAAGCAGAGCTGAGCACGCGAAGAGTGGGATGAGGTCTGTGAGTGATGACAGGGCATAGACATGGGGACAGAGAAGCAGGTCCCAGCACGAGCAGCTACAAGCAGAAGGGACATAGCGGGGGAAGGAGAGGGGTCTGCTACCAGAGATGCTGAGGTGGGGGCATGGAGGGGTGGATTCGAGGACCTTCCTGCAATCCCCTGCAGTTGAGAAGCTTTCCCTGGAGAATTCCCCTGGTTGTCTCTGTCACCCAGCAGAGGCTCTGCCCTCAAGGCTGTGGGTTTTCTGTCTGAGTCCCCTCATTAGACACCTGACCCCCAGGGAGGAGAAACTGCTGAGTGACCGTCTGGCTGTCCCTGTCCTGCTTCCCTCTGCAGAAATATCAAGGCATTTCTACGTGTTTCCCTGGCAGTCCGTGCTGCCTTTATCCCCACCAAGCCTGCAGGTGCTGGGCACTGGCAATGAGCAGAACGCCCCATCTTTAGGACATTCCTTTCTTTCCCTGGGGGGGTCCTGCTGGGCTGCAGACTGCCCTCCACCGGGGCACAGCTCTCCCATAGCATCTCGGTGTCACCTAGGAGACCCATGGAGAAGACACATCTCCTCGCCCTGCACTAAGCGGCAGCCCCTTTGCCACTCGGGACCCACAATATTTCTCTTTCAGTCCAACAGAAATTCAAACATTTCCTGCACCAAAACCACTTCTCTGGTGTGTTGGGAAACTGGAACCAACTAAAAAAACCAACATTTCCAGAGCTCTACTCCGTAGTCAGGTGAATTCAAAGTGACAATTCCGAAAGGCTCTTTTCTATCACATGAGTAGAATACAGCTAAAAAGCTCTATTCCATTCAGATTTAATCTGAAATCACCCCATGTTCCTATTTAACAATTGCTGCAGGGCAGGAGTGACTTCTCCAGAGACGTCAGCAGAGCCCCTGCTCTCCTGGCAACCTCAGCCAGTACCAACCACAGCTCAAGGAAAAGGGACCTGCACGAAGACGTTACTGAAAAGACAGAATAATTGTCAGGGATTTCTACAAAAAACGAAGTAGGTTTTCCTCAGAGAAGTCTACCATAACTTGTCACTCTCTCTTCCTCATCGGACACAACCGTGTGCCAACAGGCACCAGATGTCCAACAGCAGCTCCATGGCCAATTTCCTCCTCCTGGCATTTGCAGACACACGGGAGCTGCAGCTCTTGCACTTCTGGCTCTTCCTGGGCATCTACCTGGCTGCCCTCCTGGGCAACGGCCTCATCATCACTGCCATCGCCTGTGACCACCGCCTCCACACCCCCATGTACTTCTTCCTCCTCAACCTCTCTGTTCTTGACCTGGGCTCCATCTCCAACTCTCTCCCCAAGTCCATGGCCAATTCCCTCTGGGACACCAGGGCCATCTCATATTTGGGATGTGCTGCCCAAGTCTTTTTTCTCTTCTTCTTGCTCGGAGCAGAATATTTCCTCCTCACTGTCATGGCCTATGACCGCTACGTTGCCATCTGCAAACCCCTGCACTACAGGATCCTCATGAGCAGCACAGCTTGTTTCAAAATGGCAGCAGCTTCCTGGGGCAGTAGTTTTCTCAATGCTCTTCTGCACACAGCCAATACCTTTTTGCTTCCCCTCTGCCACGGCAATGCTGTGGACCAGTTCTTCTGTGAAGTCCCCCAGATCCTCAGGCTCTCCTGCTCAGACTCCTACCTCAGGGAGGTTGGGATCCTTTTATTTAGTCTTTGTTTAGTCTTTGCATGCTTTGTTTTCATTATGGTGTCCTATGTGCAGATCTTCAGGGCTGTGCTGAGGATCCCCTCTGAGCGGGGACGGTACAAAGCCTTTTCCACCTGCCTCCCTCACCTGGCCGTGGTTTCTCTTTTTGCCAGCACTGCCATGTTTGCCTACCTGAAGCCCCCCTCTATCTCCTCCCCATCCCTGGACCTAGTGGTGGCAGTTCTGTACTCAGTGGTGCCTCCAGCAGTGAACCCCCTCATCTACAGCATGAGGAACCAAGAGCTCAAAGTTGCTCTGTCGAAACTATTTCAATAAATACTTCTTCAGAATCAATAAGATGCCCATTATTTTCATAGAACTAGCAGGGTATCTCAGGAAATGCCAAAAACATTTTAAAACATTTTCCTTCCTTCCTCCCTCCCTCCCTCCCTGCCTTCCATACCTTTGATGATTTAATTACTTTTCCTCTCCTACTTTTTTATTTTTGACACAAAGAACTCTTATACATATGGAGCCAGGCTCCCTGTGACAAACACAATAAAGAATCCAGCAGAAAATTATTTGTCTCAGCTCTCGTCATCTTGTGTGGACATTGACAGGTCTTTTCAGTGCTGGACAGGACCTGGTCTTTTCAGTGCTGGGCTCCCCTCACTCTAACCCTGTTCTGCTCTGCCCTTGCATTTGTGTCAGCCCTAAGATCTCATTTACCTAGTGACAGTCCTGTTGCCTGCACAGTGGCACCCCCAAGGTTTCAGGCAGGAGAAGCCATGTAAACCCTTGTGCCAGAGCTGGCCTCCCTGCAAGCACCAGGCCAGGTTTCCCACCTTTCAGGTGGAGTTTGAACTTCGTGAGGTTCACACAGGCCTACTTTTCAGGCCTGGGTAGGTCCCTCTGGATGGCATCCCTTCCCTCTAGCATGTCGATTGTGGCATACAGCTTTATGTCGTCAAACTTGCTGAGGGTGCTCTCAATCCTACTGTCCATGTTGCTGACAAGGATGCTGAACTACACTTGTCCCAGTACCAACCGCTGACGAATGCCACTCCTCACTGGTTACCACTTGGACATAGCTCTGTTGACCACTACTCTTTTGAGTGCAACCATCCAGCCAGTTTTTTGTCCTAGTGGTCCACCCTTCAAACTCATGTTTCTCCAAGTCAGAGACCAGGATGCCATGTGGGCCAGCGTCTAAGACTTTGCACAAGCCCAGGTAGGTGATGTCAGTTGCTCTGCCCTTATCCACAAAGCCTGTAACACCATCATAGGAGGCCATCACATTTATCAGGCACAATTTGCCCTTAGTGAAGCCACGTTGGCTGTCACCAATCACCTCCTCATTTTCCATGTACTTATCATAGTTTCCATGCAGAACATCCATAAGAGAATCTGTCCGTGATCTTGCCAGGCACAGAGGTGAGACTGACTGGCCTGCACTTTCCTGATTTTTCCAGTTTTCCCTTTTTGAAAAGGGATGGATGCAGTCCTGAGTAGTGTGCTCCAGGCGTTCCTGCTTTAGCAGGGGAGTTGGACCAGATGATCTCTAGAGGTCCTTTCCAACTCTGACAATTCCGTGATTCCGTGAAAACAGGGGTTTCATTTCCCCTTTTCCAGTCAGCAGGAACTTCACTGGACTACCATGAGTTCTCAAATATGACAGATAGTGGCTTGGCAACTTCATCCACCAGTTCCCTCAGGACCTGCAAATCAATATCTCATCAAGTCCTATGGAGGTTTGGCCTCACTAGTGCTGAGTACGGGGGGACGATCACTGCCTCAGTCCTGATGGCCACATTGTCTTGAAGACCTGAGGAAAGTGACAAAGAGATCAATACCTTGTGAAGGCTTTCTGTGACCTCGGTTGTTATAGCAATTAGTATAAGCAAGAGCCTCTCTGCACACCCTTCCTTGGTATAATCAGGTCTTATCACTGTGAGAGTGAACAGTTTCTGAACAATAGGCTGTTAATTTCAGAGTTTAGTTAGTTAGAAGAGGCCCAGCTAATAAGTAAAATTACTGAACAGAAAATTAGTTCTGTTTTACCTCAAACCAGGACATGAGGTCACTCCGGATGATCTGTTCTAAAACCTTCCCTGGCACCGAGGTCAGACTGACTGGCCTGTAGTTTTCCCGATCCTTTTTCTGGCCATTCTTCTAGATGGGTGTCATGTTTGCTAACCTGCAGTTCCCTGGGACCTCCCTAGATAGCCAAGGCTGCTGAGAAAGGATGGATAGGGCCTTGGTGAGCATCTCTGCCAGCTCCCTCAGTGCCTTTGGGTGGATGCCAGTCAGCCCCGTAGACTTGTGTGTGTCTAAATGCTGTAGCAGGTCCCTCACCATTTTCCCTTAGATTTTAAGCTCCTGAAGCATTGTTGAAACCTCAAGTTGCACCAGGGGAGGTTCAGATTGGACATCAGGAAAAACTTCACAGTGAAAGGGTTATTAATAATTCAAATGGGCTGCCCAGGGAAGTGGTTGAGGCACCATCCCTGGAGGTATTCAAAAGACAGGTTGACATAGTGCTTACTGACATGGTTTAGCGATGCTTTTTCATCAGATTTAGGCTGGTGGTTGGACTACATGATCTTAAAGGTCCCTTCCAACCTAGACTATTCCATGATTATGGTGGCTACATTCTGCTCCCCATCCCTGTCTTCCAGCTCAGGGGGCTGGGTACCCAGAGAAAAACCCATCCTACTATTAAAGATGAGACAAAGAAGGAATTAAGCACATCAGACTTTTCCTCATCCTTTGAGGCCATGTTTCCCACCGCATCTAATAAAGAATGAAGATTCTCCTTAGCCCTCTTTTTGTTTCTAAGGCATTTATGGAAACATGTTTATTGTCTTTTATGGGTGTAGCCAGATTAAGTTCTAGTTGGCCTTTGGCCCTTCTAATTTTCTCCCTGAATAACCTCACAACATCCTTGTAGATCTTCTGAGTTGCTTGCTTCAAAAAGCCATAAACTCCTTTTTTTCCCCTTAGTTCCCTCCAGAGCTCTCTGTTCAGCTAGGGCGGTCGTCTTCCCCTGTGGCTGGTCTTTCCACACATGCAGAGGGCCAGCTCATGCAGCTCCAGGAGTTCTATCTTGAAGAACTCCCAGGTGTCCTGGACTCCCAGTCCCACTTCGTGTCTCTCCCAGAAGGTCTGGCTGTGTGAGAACACTGCTGTATGCACCCACCCTTCACACTCCCACAGCTGAGCTCTGCACTGGCGTTTTCCTCTCCTGAGCACTTTCCAGCTCAGCCCAGGCCCTCCCGGGCTCTCCCCACCTCCCTGCCATCTCCCCATCCCAGCAGAGTCCCCCAGTCTGGCCTGACCCCCAACAGTGCCTGTCGCAAGGTGCTGCAGAGCTTCGGGCACTCACCCCACAGCAGCCCTTGGGGGCAGAGAGAGGGATGTCAGAGGAAGGATGAAACAGAGTCTGTGACAGTGCCTCTCCTGCTGTCATGCCCAGGAGATGCCCTTCAGCAGCAGCCTGCAGCCCCCCAGGACAGCCCGAGGGGCCTTGCCCTGGGGCTCCTCTGGCAGTGTCCTCCCCGTGGTGTCCTGCTCTTCTCCTGGGACATCCCCGTTCATAGAGAGCCTGTCTCCATCTGAGTGTGCTGGGCTGGCCGGCTATTGCTGCTCCTGTGATGCCCAGGAGATGCCCTTCAGCAGCAGCCTGAAGGCTGGCACTGGGAGGCACTGGGAAATTCCCAAACTGGACTCAGCGATGGACACGAACTAAACTCGGGAACAGGATTCAGGAATGCATGGATCGTGACCAAAGACAGATGGACAGAGTCCCCCTCTGGACCTGCTGCTGGACCTTCCTGTCTCTCCCAGGAGCCTGACTGTGCAAGGACACTGCTGTGTGCCCCCACTCTGCACACTCACATCTTTGCTGTTCCCTGGTGTTTGTTCTCCTGGGCGAGTTTCCTGAGACACCTTTTGGAAGGAGACCTGAGCCTTCGGGCTCCGCCCTGAGCAGATCCTCTGGTATGATGGAAATGCTGTTTTGGAGGCCAGCTCTGTCACAAAAATGCCCATTCCCTGTCCCTGCAGGCGGTCACAGGCCTGCCATATCGCAAGGCTGTCACCGAGCTTCAAGAGCATTCAGGCCTTACACCAACAGAGGAGCTCAGAAGGAAAGCGCTGAAGTGGAAAGTGATCAGCTCTGGGAAGACCAAGTGCTGGTGCTCCTTGTCAGGGCTGCTGTGCCGGGCCTCCTTTCCCCTCCGCCTCTGCACACAGCATCTGCCCCTGCAGCTCCAGAGAAGGTCTCAAAGGAAGGACAAACAAGGCCAACAAGTTGTTGGCAGGTCCTTTATTTGGTTTAAACACAGAGAGCACGGCTCTTCATTTACACAGTCTGTGTGTCACAGAGAACATGGATTGTTACCTAATTAGAAATGGCACAAATAATGGCATTTCTTTGTGGACAAGATTATAAGAAGTAAACCAAAGCAAAACAACCCAAACTCACAACCAAAACCAACTAAAGCTACCAAAGACTGCCTGGGCCTCTGATGAGTTACATTAAGGCTTATTTGCAGTAAAAGGCAAGCAGTTAAATGCTTCTGAAAATCATCCGGTTATCAATTTCCATATGACGTCCTTCAGCTCCCTATTCCTCATGCTGTAGATGAGGGGGTTCACTGCTGGAGGCACCACTGCGTACAAAACAGCCATCAGCAGATCCAGGGATGGGGAGGAGATGGATGGAGGTTTCAGGTAGGCAAAGAAGCAAATGCTGATAAACAGGGAGACCACGGCCAGGTGAGGGAGGCAGGTGGAAAAAGCTTTGTGCCGTCCCTGCTCCGAGGGGATCCTCAGCACGGCCCTGAAGATCTGCACATAGGACACCACGATGAAAACAAAACAAATAAAAGAAAAAAAGACGGTAACTACAAGAAGACCCACTTCTCTGAGGTAGCGTGAGTCCGAGCAGGAGAGCTTGAGAATCTGGGGGATTTCACAGAAGAACTGGTCCAGGACATTGCCCTGGCAGAGGGGTAATGAAAATGTACTGGCCGTGTGCAGGAGAGCGTGGAGAAACCCGCTGCCCCAGGCAGCTGCTGCCATGTGGACACAAGCTCTGCTGCCCAGGAGGGTCCCGTAGTGCAGGGGTTTGCAGATGGCAACGTAGCGGTCGTAGGCCATGATGGTGAGAAGACAATACTCTGCTGACATCAAGGCAACAAAGAAAAAGACTTGGGCAGCGCATCCCAAATATGAGATGGCCCTGGTGTTCCAGAAGGAATTGGCCATGGACTTGGGGACAGTGGTGGAGATGCAGCCCAGGTCAAGAACAGAGAGGTTGAGGAGGAAGAAGT